AGGCTGGATGATAGGTGACTGGCGTTCACTTTCACAGTCTGGCTTTTCTGACTGGCTTAATTGCAAAAAACCGGGGGCAAAACCCCCCGGAGATTGGGAAACAATTACACACGAAATAAGCCAGGGGGGAAACTTGAAAAGGCTGCAAAAGGTTTCAGGCCCCCCAGGGGGGAGGGTTTTTAGGGGAGCGGTAAAAGGGGGTGGGGGAACGGTTCACCCTTTGGGCCCCCCGGCTTTCTCACAAACAAATCCTTTTTAAAACGTCTTTAAAACCCGGGGAAAAAAACTTAAATCCACGCTCCAAAACCGTTGCCACCATTTATTTATGTGGGGTTCAACACGGGAAAAAGGGTTAAAAAAAAATACTCACGTTAAACTGGTAGTACGTATTTTTACGGATAATTGTTTAAGCGGGCCCCAAAAAGGGCCCTGACCCCATCTCCCCCCCTTCTCCCCTCGTATAAGAAAATGACCCCCCCCAAATTTCCCCTATGTGAGGGGCCTTTTAAATACTGTGAGGTACGGGAAAATAAATACAGACAGGACTCAGGCAGAGACGGTTTTGGGAGTGGTCAAAATTTCTGGGACACTGGTTACTGGTAACGGTTACTAATGAGAAAACTTTGAATACAACCATAAATACCATAAAAAATACAGTGCAAAGTCATTGTTTTTTAAAAACCAAAAACCCCCCCTCCCAAAGTTTTTTTTTGTCATTACGCCCCTGGGGTGCTGCCGGGTTTTTTTTTATGCTGTGGGGACACTGACCACAAAAAACCCATTCTTTCATTGTAGGCCTACCCCTTTCTCTTTCCCAAATTTGAAGGCATAGAATTTTTTGGCGTTCTAGTACGTCAATAACCCTGGTGCGTAAGCCTACTATAGTTGGAAACCCCGAAAAGGGTTTAAACTTCCCCCCCAGAATGCGCCCCCAACAAACCCGTAACATCCAGGTAACCCAATTAACTAAAGGGGAAGAATTTGAAAATATGACTGTGTAGATGAATGAAAAAGTCATTAAATACTGTAGTTGTTCACAGGTGATGTAAGGTTTTTTATTGGGAGTGTTCAAGGGCAGCGGTTTTTTTAAAACCCTAGCTCCTGCCCGCTCCTCAATTTTGGGGGTTTCGAAGGGGAGTGGTAAACCCCAGTAGGAGATGAAAAATTTGAGAGGGGGGCCGAACCCAAAACTAACCTACTTTCCCAAAAATTTTTTAAAAAAAGCATAAGTAAGGTACAGAATCTTTGACACAGTAGGGGTTTTTAGAGTAGCGGTGACGGAAAAGTGGGGGTTACCCTGATTGGGAGCAGCGGCCATTTTTTAATGTTAGCTGTGCTTTGCTGCTGTTTCTGATGGGTGCTAGAAAATTTGTCTTAGCCCGTGGTTTTTCTTTTCTTCAACCCTTTGGGGGGTTAATTATGTTAAATGTGATACTTGGCCCCTTTTTTGCTTGCATGGGAAAATCAGTAGGGGTGTTTAAACTGTTAAGTAAGGTACCCGTGTTTTTTTTGGGAGGGGGAAACATGGTTAATGTGTTTTCAGATTTGAAGGGGTTATGGTAGTGGGGTTTGGGTGCTTATTTTTGATCCCTTATGGTATCCGTGTAGTAGTAGGAGGTATGTTTAGCCACGGGGTTTCACCACGACATGTATTGAGTAAAAACTGTAAAAAAAAGTAGGCCCCTCATACCCGAGCTGCATTTCCGCCCTTTTTTATGAAAATTTAATTTTGTAAAAATTGACATAGAATGTGTGTTAAGTTATGAAATTTTTGTCAAATATGATCTTGCCCCCTTTTTAAAAAACATAGGGAAAAGGGCCAGCCCAAAATTGCTGAAGTTTCAAAAAAATTTTAAAAGGTTTTTGTTTTTACACTTCACAAAGAATGGGAGTACCCCCCCCGGATGATTTTTTACCCACCAACCCACTGCAAGATTTTGACTAATTACAGTGTTTTTTTTTTTTAAGTTTTGTTTAATATTTGTTAGTTTAAAGGGGAGCCCCTGACATGCCCAGCAGTTTTTGATAATTTTTTTTTTCCCTTTTCGATAGCCCCTGAAAAATAAAAATTTTTTAAAGGGAAAGGGCAGTGGGTTTCAGGGCCCGGGAAACTCCATTTATCACGTTGCATTGTTTTGGAAATAATGGTTGGACTTAGTGGCATGAAATTTGGGGGACAGTTTTTGCTGATGCTTAAAATTTGGGGCCCCCAAAGGGGAAGGGGGTGTCCCCTTTTAAAAAAAATTTAAAGTTGAAATTTTTAAATTTTTTTTTATCACTGTGTGTTTTTTAAAACCAAAGGGAAGGGGATCCCAAAAAAAAAGGGTTTCACCTTCACCATTAATTTTTTTGTACATTATTTTTATATTTATATAAATTTATAATTTTGTTTTTTTTCAGGGAAAAAGAAAATAGATGTTTTTTGGTCTCACCCAAAAATTTTTGATCCCCCAAAATATTAGATACATTGTTACAAAAACCCGCCCCCCCTAAACTGCTCAGTAACGGGGGCATCCCCCTCCCCGATCAAAATGGGACAAAAAGGGCAGTCTTTTCAACATTAAGGGAGTGCTATTATAACCCCTCAAACCAGTTTATATTCCCAAAAACCGTACTCTGACGCGGGAAAATGTCCCCAGGTCTTGTTATAACAAAAAGAAGGAATGCGTAAGAAATTTTCTACAAATTATTTTTATTGTATCTTGGGGAAGCACTGAAACCATAGGGGTCATACCACCCCGGGAAAAAGGGCATACAGTAAATTTTTTTAATCTGGTGCCGCATGCAAGCTTAACTATTTAATATATTGGTAATTTCACCTACAATAAAATTATAGGGTATCATTTTTTTCATAAAGTCATTAGTACTACAGTTTAAAACCTGATATGAAGAACATTCTCCAGTTATTAAGGGAAAATCATTTTACAACAAAAATAAAATTGAAAAGAGAGTTACCCCCTCTCTTCCTTGGATCAAGCCTGATTACCTCCCATTCCCGGGTGTTTTGATGACCATTATTTTTTTATTGCTTTCCTATAAAAAAAATAAATTTTTTATGACCATGTGAGTAGAGTTAGAAGGGAACATTATGAGGCATTTTTTTCCAAATTTTTTTTTTTTTTTACTCCTTTGTTTTTATTTTTTTTTTTTTTTTTCCCGAAATGTACAGATCAAAAATTATAAGGGCAGTATGAAAAAGTTATTACAATCAGTCCTAGTGACTGGTTCTCAAATTAGATGAAAAAAGCAAATTTCCCGGGCCTTAATGAACTGTTTTTTAAGGGTTTTAAAAAATGTAAGGAGGCCTTAAACAAACTATTGGGATTTTTCAGTAATCACTAAAACTGGGATAGTGCCAATGAGGGAAAATGAAATGTGAACCCATCACAAAACAGGGAAAAAGGTCATTTCTTCAAATTATAGACCAGTTAGCCCGCCTCCATTATGAAAAATTGATGGAAAAGGTAATTTGGGTATTTGAAGTGACCTTGACCCCAAAGAATCTCAGAGATTTTTACGTTTGGGGATTCTTGCCTTTCAAGTTTACTAATTGGAGATATGATAAAGAATATATTTTGTTATGGTTTTCAGTAAGGGCCTTTGGAAAATTCCATACCAAAATTTTTGAAGAAATAGTGGGAATAAATAAAAGGGAAAAATTTCCTGCTTTTGAGGTGTGGGTGACTGATAGGGAACAGAGAGTTTTGCATAAAGGGGAGAAAATTTGGGGTGGGGGTGTGTCACAGGCAGTGTTCCCCAGGGGGCAGTGTTGGTCCCTTTGTTTTTACAATTTACATAACAACAGGGTGAACCAATACAAGTGACATAACAAAATTTGTTGATACACTAAAATAGGCCATCAGAAAATTCGACAGGGGCACTAGAGTAAGGGGAAGACTTAGGTTGATGCAGTAATCAGGAGTGGAAGATGCAGTTTAAAAAGAACAAATGTAAAGGTTTTTTAACAGGGGGAAAAGAAAACCCCTGGCCCCATGAACTGAATAATGTAAACTCAATCATTTAAAATGTGAAAGGATTTTTGGGAAATTGGTTGCAGAATCTACAGCCCAAAACAAAGTCTAATTGTTCGCTAAACCAAAGAGTTCTTGCTTCAAAAAGAATTATAAATAACAGGAGTCCTCGATATGTTCACCAATTCCTTGGTAAACCCTTTCGTATTTAGATTTTGCTGCCTTTCTGGCACCTATACAGAATGGACTAATTTTTACGGAAAACAAACAGTAAGATGTAAATTAAACTCATGTACGAAATCTTTCCCCATGAAGATGACTGAGGGGACTGAATCTCTTTCTCTGAAAAATTTGAATTAGGGGGAATAGGGAATTATTAAATGCTGTAAAGAGTTTTTAGAGGTAGTGAGGTGCGGTTAGGGTGGTAGAAGGAGGGAGACTATTCCCCGGTAAAAAATAGGTCTTAGAAGGGATGTGTTAAAGCACCGGGTTGTTTAAAAAATTTATAGTG